TGTTTTTCTTTTTTTTTTCTTTTTACGCGGATGTAATTAATATTAATTAAATTAAAAGTAGGCAAAAAATTGCTTTGACATGCAGTTGTCATATTGGCCATCATCAAAGCCGGATAATTGAACCTTTGCTTGACGAGATCAAAAAAGTTAAAATAGGGGTGCGTGTTTTTTTTTATTTCGTCGGGTAAAAAAATGTTTGTTGAAAACGTGACAAAATACTCGTGACTCGTCGTTTCGTGTTACCTCGCAAACGTGTACAGTAGCTCAACCGCGACCACCCGCCGCGCGATAGGGGTGTGAGTGGTGGGCATAATGAATTCGAGTCGTGGCGTTGACAAATCGCTGCAGTGGGACAAATATTCACTTTGCAATAGACGGAAATGGGGCACTAAGTAGAGCAATCCGGGGGGTGGCGGCTGGTATGTGCGGGCGCGTTTAACCGACGGCATATTCCATAACGATATCCTCGCGACCAGCCAAACAACGCGTCCCACCCCCGCGGGGGCTACACACAGAGGTTTACATCATCGCCACCGCAACGATGTAAGCACACGAATAATGCGCGCCGCCAGCGTGTAGGACGTGTACACCGTGTTGCCGCCGCCGCCGCTGCGTTGTACCTACACGGCACAGGTTCGTGTCATCGTCGGTTGCCTAATGATTGATTGCTGCAATGCGTGTAACGAACGGAGCGAAATCTTAACTGTAAATACACTTCAGGTTCTCGTTTAATGATAATAAAGGTTGGACATTAATTATTCAGGAAACGCGGAGACGTGAGCGTCGAATGAAAAATGCCAACGCACACCAGGGGGCTGGTAAAATGTGGTGCGTCATAAGTTAAACCAAAACGCAACACAACGCATCAAGTCATTCAGCTAAATGTTTTATTATACACGATCGTGTATAATCTATAGTATTACTCACCATAATCATAAATTAACACATACCTGAAACAAATAAAATGAGATTAGTGTAATACAAATTTAACGGTATCACCGTAACATCAATAAGATAAAAATTAATGTCTCACTATCAAAGCCGTGCGAAACGTTTCATGTATATTTATTGTGATGGAGGTTTTTTTGCGCGCGAGAAAGGGTGGCAAAACAAAATTAAAAAATACATATTCATGTAACGACCCCGCATCGATAAATTCTTATCGCAGCATGAAAATTTCCAACCATTAAATAATAAAAAATAACGAGCGCACTAAAAGCCGCATTCCTCCGCAGCTGAACCACCCCTATATCTAAATATACGGACGTACGATTACATCAATAAGCGGCGGGTGTTTACCGTCTGTTTAATCTATTTCGGTGTCAAGAATCCGACTTAAAATAACCTCCGACGCACACAGCATGTGTGATCAATGATCAAAAATACGAAATTGAGTGAGATTTGTTTTTTCAATTCGAATTCAACAAACATCACATTCTACAACTGTCTAATGCAGTTTATAAAACAAATATTATCATTAACTACTATATAAACTTCAAATTTTTAAAATCTGTGATCAACCGGAAAAAAATAAAGATGCAAATTAAGTCCGTATATGAGTGTGGTTTTTTTTTGTTTTATCCAGTGGCAGCACTCGTAAATTTTGATACGAACGCGTGGCTGGCACGCACAAACAACAAATCACACACAAATGTGTACGAAAGTGTTCCGAACGCCATGTTGGTATATATACTGATGTATTTCTAGGTTAGATACGGCGTTGCAATCTTTGCGCTTGTTAGCGATAGCGACGACAAAAGAATTTAAACAAAACGAACACCGCAAACACAGTGTCAATCTGAAGTGGGTTAAAATGATAGAGTTTTAAACGGTGATTTATCGCAGTGAAACAAATTGCTCGCATATTTTATGCATTGCACGCCGGAATGCGAATGCTCGTATGACTAATCACGCAATTAAACGCAAGTGATTTTTTTGCGGCGCATTGAGTTTTATGCACGTCAATTTGAATAAATGAATGAAACGTAAAAATAAAATGGAAATCATATATTTTATAACATGTAAAATCATTTATTGTGATATAGTACTTAAAAAGTGTTTTTTTTTTTTGCACTAGTGCGTAAAATTATAACTTTAAACACTTAAAAATTAAATTTTTATGCGTTGTATTTCTATAAAAACTCATTTTAAACACTTAATATACTATTTTTTTTAGTTTTGGAATATAACTGTCACTTTTGTTTGCAGTTTGCCATCGCATATCTAAATTGTATTCAACACGAGAGGGTTAAAGCGTAAACTTTTCGCAAAGTTTGAAGGTTAGCCCAACGAGTTAGCGAAACGTTTCCACTTTCGTGCGTTTTTTTACGGCGACAGTTTGCGTACTTTAAAGATTAGATATAATCAACCCTTGCGTCGAGCGGAACTGCAGGCTCTCTCCGGCGGGCAATGAATTAGTATTTCTGGCGAAATAAACGCCGACCGCGCGATTCCGATAATCTCGCATTACGGCTGAAAATATTGAGAATCTCGACGCTGTGCGGCCGCGCGTGAAATTTGGACGCATTCGCACGAAATGAGAAATACTCCACCATCACCACCCCCCGCACCCCACACCTCGGTCGTATTTCGCTGTATCGAGCATTATAATCGTGCTCGGCGCGTAATTACACTTCTGCTTGGATATTCATTAAAATAAAACGCGCTCGTGCATTTCGCGTCGCCCGTCGGGTGAACCGTGATTATTTGCTTGGATTTGCGACAAGAGCGAAAAAATCCCGGGGAACGAATTCAACAAGCCTTTGTCGTCGTTGGTTTCGGTGGTGAGCAAACATTTGCATTTTTACCAGGCTCTCCTCCAGTATTTTGAAGCTTTCGAAACGTATGTGGCCCATGGTCCACTGAGCTCCGCGCTATCGATCTCACCAAGTGAAACCGCAAGACAAAACAGGAAAATATTGCAGATGTCTCAAAATTACGATTTAATGCGATCCGAGTCTTATTTTTGCGCTGACAGAAAAAAATGTAAATCAGATTTAATTTCTTCCAGGTTCCGCGAAAGTGATGAGTGAACGTAATGCAAGGAAGCAGACGGAAAGTGAAAGAATGATTGTTTTCCCCCGACTCTCGCACTGTGACAAGCGAATCATTGCGGGAAAGTGTCCCGCCCGCCCGGGCACTCTCGCCCCCGCCGCGCCGCCATTGAAAACAATTTAATCTCGCTCGGCGCAAGCAAAAAATGAATAAAACTTAGAAGCGCGTATTATAAATTTTTGCGCCGCCGCGAACGCTACCGCGGATGAAGAAAAAATGAGAAAATGTATAAAAAGGATTTTAAATGAGATTATTATTATTAATGTCTTAAAAATAACGCTCAGCGCGCGGAATGTGTTCGGAATGCTTGAAATTGTTATACAGTAATTTAAAACGTAATAAATTCGCGCACCCCGAAGGGAATTGAAAAGGAATTGGTATTATTTACGATCGCAATAAAACCAATGCGATATAAGTATAGATTAATTCACATTTCTTAGCGCGAAAGTATTTTTAATTAAGTAATCCAGTAATGTGTATTGTATTGGTCTTATTTAAACCTTTCGATTCGAAGACTGGGGAAAGCTTGGACGTTATTAACTTCGTGTACGAAGTACGAAGTACAGGCGCGAACGTGCGGCGGCAATAATCGAACGCCTGCGCGCGGATATTGGTTATCGAGTCTTCATCCTCCCTTTAAGAAAAATACACAAAGACCACTTAGAGGCGAGGGCGATGTGGAAGAAAAAAAAAAAGCGAGCACACGAGCTTACCAGCCACTTTGTACTCCACGCCTCGACTTACACGCTCCAGTCAGGAAATGGGCGAGAACTAAAGCTTTCGCCAGGGGTGAACTACCCTCATACTATGCCATCTCGTGGAAAAGCCTTATTTGCTTCACAAATTAGATCGATTAATAGAGTAACACTCGCGACGGGTAGACGTGCCGCGGAAAACGCATTATTTAAATCGTAATAATCCGGTATTGCCGAGGGTTCTGCTCTTCTCTCCTGTTAAGTGATGGGGTGGTATGCATCGTGACGAACGCTCAAATCCCCATTGCAGAATAAACAAGTGTCGCGCATATTCTACTCCTATTTTTTTTTCTTCACATTTTTTCTTCCTTTTTGAAATTGCTACGCGTGGAAAATCATATTCGTGAAGGCGTGTAGCGTAAACTACATTACTTGCGCTTCGCGTTCAAGGCGAACAAGCGTGAACGACATGTGAACCCTTCGTTCAGAACTTTTAGGTCCCAAGAAAAAATCACAAATACTAAAAACTCATTGTCGTTAAGTATGGGCTTCCCATTTTGCACATTTAGCATTCTGCGTAACCCAATATTCGCTGGTAGACCACACGGACTATCTCGCTTCCGATCCGATTTCAGTCACGGCATAAGGTTGTTTGTGCTGGGTTTCGCATGCCTCACAGTATCGACTGGTCATAGATAGCAGGCGGATGGATGTGTCGCGCTTTTGTGCAATTTCCACGTCTTGCTACCGCCCGAAAAAGAAGCAAGAAAAAAATGCGCACGCTCACAGCGGAGACCACCTTCAACGTTCCGGGGAGCTTTGCGCTCTTTCACGTCTTTAACGCATTCAAAAAGCGTTATTACTCGTTACACTCTTCGCGCACACGTCCAATGCACTTCAAAGGGAAAAGACTCTCGATGTGGGGGCCGGAGCGAGCGCTCGTTCAAAAAGCTCATTTTTAAAATGCTTATTTTTTCCGCGCAGAGCCGCTTCGCTTTCACAGCACAGCTCGGCTCCTTTATATTGGGAAGCGGTGAGTTGGCGAGGAATTCATTTTTGTTTATGTGTGTTTCGTCGTTTTTTTTTGCGCCTCATGCGCAAATGCTCAATTTCTGGTGTAAACATCAAAAAGAAACCTACACCTTTGCTTCTTGTTTTCTTCTTTTAAAGTATTAGCTGCATTTATTTCCTAATTATTTGGTATTAGTCTCGAAAAGTGCTGCAAATCACTTTTTATTTCCCTGAAGAATAACGAAAATTTAAATTTGAATTATTTATGTTAGGCAACCATGTATACAGCGCGCGATGTCCAGCGCATCAGGGTTGCACTTTTGACTAGCGCGGTACCTGCATCCGCGTTGCGCGTCCGATGCGCGTGCAGGAACCGGTTGCTTCATTTTCGCTGCGTTCTTGCAAGTGTGATGTGTATCAAAACTGTTAGTTGTATAAATGTGAATATCATTGTTTGCCAAGGCGGTCGAGCGGTCCCAGGGTGGCACGGTTCTACGCAGAATTACCAGGTTAGTGTTATACAACAATATTTATTACTAATTAGGTTGCAATATTTTATGTATGGAACATTTCGGACATTGGGAGCGTTTATGATTCGACGCCATGCACACACCACACGCCCCAGCGTGTGTAAACAACAAGTTATCGTTGCTTAAACAAGTTACAAGCGGAAATAATTTTATACCTCGACGTATACGACGCATTCGTACGGATTTTACGAGGCGGCCGAGTGTTATATTTCCAAAAAGGAACACTAATGACGCCTTCAAATCCACGCCGTTGTGCATACAGTGCGTTTTATGCCGCCATCGATGTTTATCGCTCGTACGAGAATAAATCCGACAATATTTGTCCAATATACTTATGTTTGATAGGCTGCAAGGCAGCACAACGCGCCGTAAATCTGTTCAGCATTTTTTTAATGCTTTCCACTATGTGGAAAACTTGCGCATCGCATCAATTTGCTCGAAAACTTTTCCACGCAGAGAGAGGAGTGACTTTGCACACGCTTGCTCGCACTTAAATATTTCCCATGCAGAAATAATTTACGAGTACGCGCAGCATAAATAAGACATATTTTAATATTAAACTTTAAAATGATTTATGTCCTGCGCTCGAAGTGAAGCATTTACACGGTTGTGCAGAGGAGTACAAGAAGCCAGCGAAGAATACACACACCATATACACACCTCCTCACAACACCGTTTTTTGTACCTCTCTCGGGGGGTCTCGACTGCTCTCCGCTGAATTTTACATGTCTGCACTATATAAATCCCCATTTCCTTATATTTACTAACTCGCCCGTGCTTTTTCTCGCTGCGCACGCATTTATTTATTTACAGCGCGCGCGTTTGTTGACTGACGAAGGTTTTGTTTTATCATCCTTTGTCCGCGCATTTCTTTTGTTCCCCAAAGTCATCAGTTTGTGTCGGCCGCGAATTCAGCACGACGCCGTAATTAATTTTATTTAAATCACAACAAATTTGCTAATTAAATCCGGCGCATAGTTCACAAAATGGCCACCACTCACATTATTGCTCTAGAGTGATATGATCCGCTCATTATTCGATAATAATACTCTAGTGAATAATGTAATACAGTCTAATTGTCGGTTTGATAAAGCAATTATTGTGAGTGACCCGTAATGCCGAATCGATAACCGAACAATTAAATTAATTAAAACCAAGTCGAGCGACATCGTTCCGATTGATTCATCTATCGAGAGGGGTGTATTAATGAGCGCGTATGCATATAACACGCAGAGCGCCTGCATTCTGAAACTGTCAGGTTGATAATACACCGTGATATGATGTAAATACCATCTACCATCCGCAGGTGAACACATGTCTAGCTCTTAAAACTATCCCCCGCCTCCACTGACGCTGTCTCGACTCGTAGTGACACGCGCTGAGCTTCGATAAGGTTCGTGGTATAACATTGACGGTTAATTACGATTGGAATCCACGGCGTGTATTCACGAACACGACGTGTATACAAGAGCTAATAATATATTCAATATTATTAACTATTGAATTCGCTAGACCTCGCGTCGGATACGTGCATGTCGCATTTACGGATATAATGGACGTCTAATCGACGTATCCAATACGATATCCAATACATAACCTTACAATATCTTGTCTATTAAGATGGGACTCGTGTGCTGATAAACGGTTAAAAGGCGCTTTGTAGCGATGCCTTTCATACTCGTTGCGCTCGAGACGTCGTGTGCGTAATAACAAGTCAAAGCTGCTAATTGAGCGGGTGTATTAAATTATCGCAAAGACTTCCCAACAAACTTCCTCCGCTCGTTGCGCCACGCGCAAGGAAGACCTTATTGTCGAGGGTCGCTCCGTCGACGACGAGGGGATGAATCCGCAATGTTTGCGTTTTGCGCGCGCCTCGCGCGTTCAAAGGAAACTTGTACGCATTGTTTGCCAGCTTCTCGGCAACAATGTTGTTGTTTTGTGCGCAAATTTTCGTCTTTTAGACGACAGGCAAATGTTTAACTTTCGACACTTTTTAGCTACCGCGTGCCGTATTTTCATAATCCAACGCAAAACACGCAAAATTCAAACAAAACTCGGCAAAAACAATAACACCAAAAGTAATCCCAAGAGTTATTAATTTTAAAGAAGAAATATTTTTTTCGGGAAGAATTTTTGAAGTAGGGATCAAATTTAAGTGACTAGCATTTACTCATTTTAATATTTCCGTTGATGAGGGTCGTGCTGCGTGAGTTATTAACCCAGGCGCGATATGTTTATAGGTGTTTTGTAGCCAGAGAAAGCAGTTTCCGGGGGGCGGCGAAACCCGACCGTATCAACCGCACATAGATCTACCATGACTGTTTGCGGCTTTTCCCTGCCTTACGTACTTGATTCCCCAGGGCGGGCTAGTAGCTAATGCTACATCATCCCCATAAATTATTGCCTACGTATTTTTAATATTTTTGTTAATCAAAATTTAATTATAATTATGATGTTGGGAGTGAAATAACCGTGAAACGAAGCGATGGCTTCTATTGTCCATTAGGTGGGCTAATGTGGTTAAATTGATCACTTTTATTGATAGCGGATGCTTGTCGCGTATATCAGATATTGGTCAGCTCTTAACGGGCGAACGGTGGCGGCGGCGGCGGCGTTTCACAAGCCAATGAACTAGAACGATGCACTTGATGAATATCGCGCTTTGCGCACCACACCCACACACCCTGCAATCAGTTAGCCTGTTGGTATTTGGTGCGATCATATCACCGTGTGCGTGAATGATGAAGATCGAAAAGCGTAACAGCGCAAAACGTTTGACGTGCCGGCGGGTGCCGGCCAGCCTTTATTCCTCGACGCGAGAGATTGAAGAGGACGTGGACGCGCGACGCACGAGAGCATGTCCATTTTGTATGAATATCAAAACACATCGGAGGCCATTCATCATTGATCCGACCTCCGGCGTCCGCAAGGCCCACAACTACAAAACTGACAGGCCAATTTTCCCGTTGACAGCCGGATAATAGCCGCGACGTGCGCCTTTCATTTTTGTTTAATTAAAGAATCAATTTCAGATGCGGTTTAAACGGTGCGGAAACTCGTACGCATCTAATAATGATAAGAGGGGGATGAGAATTCGCCGCATTTCAATTTGGGTTAATTGTTTAAACGAGATGAGAGTGTCAGTCAAACATCAACAGAAACTTAATTTAAAACTTTTGTGTTTGCTCCCGCGGCGCGGCCGGGCAAGTTTTTACAACGCAAAAACATCACGACGGCATGCCATGTCAGGAGGAGGCGGCTGGTGGTGGTTGCGGAAATAATATGGCGATGAGGCGAACGCGCGCGAACGCGAAAGTCAAGTGTGAAAAGTCTTGCAAGAGAGCTTTTACAACAAGGTGCGGCAAAAATGTGTCAGCGGCTAAGTATGTTTCGCAGTCGCATTAAAAACAATTTAAGAATATGAAATATAAACTAGGCGCACCGCCGAAGTTTACTTAAAACTTTTCAAATTAATTTTCTTTTTACTGCCGAACCACTGACACACACACATCCAGGGCGCGTCGTATTAGCCTCGTTTGTGTATTGCTTGAGCTTATAACTCTCGGCGGGCGCATGCAAAATGTCGACGAAACACGAAACACCCCTTTCCGTGATGCCGCGCTTCGGTTATTAACGCAAAGGGCAAGCGGCATTCCAAGGGTTTCCGTCTTAATGTACACTACATGCGACAAGACACTTTCCCGAAGCCGTCACCCTTTTAAACTTGATAAAAGTGCACTGTACGCATACCAACATTACAATCTTCAACGCGCAACTTGGAGAAGGGTGCAGAAGGGTTGAAATGAGGAAGTAATGCACCGCATTGTTGCGGCGCGATTTAATGAATGTTAATATACACTTAATAACTGCGCCACCCTTGCGCGCTCCACTTGAAGGATGGAAAATAATATCCGGAAAAATAAGAAGACCTCTTAAGGCCTAAAATTTTACGAGCCCAATCCGGGGGTGACATTTTAGGGTTGTTTATAATAAAAGCACTTGCCGCCCACTTTCGAGACACACAAATGGCGTAGACGCGTAGACACAGCACGCGTTCAGATTCGAATCGGCGATAATAAAATTCGAGTCGTTAGGACGATTTATAACCGCATAACGAAAAGGGAAATTAATTAGTCGGCGCAGTTAATTAGCGCGTTTATTCGCAGCGCGCTAAAGGGACCAATTAGAGTTATGGCTTTTCGTAAATTTTCTCTGGGGCTAAATAAATTCCAGATTTCATGGGTGGCACAAAGAATATCAGTAGTGTATATCTGCGAGTTTCCGCACCGCACCAATCGAAACTATAATTCACTTGAGAGTTATGAGATTGGGCAATTCTCCGTGTTTTTTAATCTGATGCCAGGTGCGTTCAAATTGCGCAGCAAATGAAATTAAAAAATAGTTCGCAATATTGTCGATAACAAAGCAAACATTGTGAGGATGTGCAATAACGAAGAGCGGGCCATATGGTCGGCGGGCGAACCAGCGCAGTTTCGTGTTTCCGGATTGAGTGAGTTACGGTTTTAATCGCACGCTGGACTAAGCGGTCATTATTGCGCAACTATTTAACCCGATCGCATTTTTTGAAAAAGCGCCCGGCGCGCGGCTTGTAATTGGAATAAATTTCAATATTTTCGCAATCGAATTCGAAACCTGCCGGCCGACAAACAACACGCCGGGTCACGTTTCGAAAATATGTGCGTGAGCCATACCTACCGGTGGAAAAGCACAAACGAACAAACGTAAAACGATAAAAAAAAGTGCGAAGCGCGCGCTCGATGGCAGTCGTTAGTTTTGGTGAACAGAGCACAAAAATGTTAGTAATTCGAAATGTTGGAAATTAAAAATTGAACGGGTCATAAATTTCCAGCGCTCGCGCCCTTGCGCACGTCGAGTATTCAATTTGGGGTGGTCTCCGCGCTCCGTCGACGCTAGTTTTTCTTCGGCGCGCACCTTGGCAGGAGAAAAATACCGAAAGG